CCCCAAAACCCCAAAACCCCAAAACCCCAAAACCCCTAATAATCCATATTCAATTGAAAATTAATAAATCTTCCTATAAAGTGATTTTAAAGGGATTGCTCATGCTGATAGTCTGATGAGGCAAGTTCTTCTTTTTACGTCGCTTTTGGAGCTTTTTGGAGGGTTTGGAGTCACATGGAGTGAAGGAAACTGATATTTGAGGGATTTGGGGGTTTTGGAGGGAAGGTTGAGGATGAGTCGTAGGGTTGGAAGGGGCTAAACGGCAGTTTGGAGATGAGATAAGACCCTTGAGAGGTGTTTTAAGAGTAGAGAGCATGGGTTTATGAGTAGGGTGTGAGATTCGCTTGTTTTTAGAGCTTGTTTTTGATAAGTTTCTGGGCTTATTTTGAATCAAATGTTGGGATTCTAATGAGTTTTTGTGTCTTATTTCGATGAGAAAATACTTATGCTATGGTTCTTTGGCAAGTAATGAGAGGCGTTAAGTTGATTATGTCTATTTACTTCTCTGGAAGAAGCTAAAGAGACCCTTGCTTTCGGATTCCTAAGCTTAATTTTGCATGAACTTTTTCTCTTCTTACTATATTTACGATTTCCCTATACAATCAAGTAAATCTCTTACCAGACTTCTTTGGCTATAATCTTGAGAGCGATTTAGTTTCTTTCTGACCCTCCTATGAGTCAGAGTGGGACTTGAAAGCTTGTCCAGCTTATTTTCTTGTAACTTTAGAAGCATTAATACTATCATCAGCAATTATCTTAAATCAATTGCCTGTGCTAGCCCATGTATTTATCATTAATTTCTTTGGATGACTTCCTTTAACGTTTGTTAAGACGACCTCTTTACCAATTCGATTGGAGTCACTGACTCTTCCATTCCCTTGCTCCTCTCAGGAGTCATCCCCATTATGAGCTAGCGATTTGAGAGTGGCTGTAAGATTTGGAGTGTTCGAAACATTTTGTGCATTCTCAACAGACTCTATTTTTGAATCGTTGAGCACAGTATTAAGAAGTTCTTCATATTCATGTTTGATTCCAAAATCGATCCCAAGCACCTTGTAAGCACTCAACATGCTTAACTTATCGTTCTGAACTATACGAGGGAGGTACTCCCTCACATCCTCTACTTTGGACAACTTCAGCAGAATAGGCAATATCTGATACAGAGATGTGTCACAGAGGTCATTATACCAAGATGATATTGGGATAGCATTTTCCTGCTGAAACGCATAAGCATTAGGCGAATTGTCAATTATTATAACGTCTTTTAAATCCCGACCAAGGAAAGCCAGGTCTTTGACAAAGGAACTTCCACAGATTGTTCAATGTTCTCTGTACAGATGGTATTTTCAAAGTTCTTTTGGGTCTAATTGCCGAATAAGAGGTTGGGCATATCTGGATATTGAAGCTGTATATATGATAACTTCATAAATCTTTGACACCTCTTCAATAAAATATTTAGCACCTGGTCTGATTTGGACATATATGTCAAGAATATTCCCATTTATCTCAATAGGAACTATAATCTGAGCTTCTGGTGTTGAGGCGAAGGAGGAGTGGACAAGAGTCTCATCCAGATCAAGAACCAGCGTCTTTTTACTTTCAAAGCTAGGAAGTAACATCTTCGGCGTCGCTAGATTTTCTCTAAGATCTGTGTATCACTGGAGATTTGCTTCAAAGTTCTTCCCACTTCGTAGCTTCATAGGATTACTAGAGATCCAATCATTATAGATGAAAGGATTGTAGATTCAAATTTCTGTTGGATAATAGGAATCGTCAATAGGAGTCTTGAGGTATTCTGCAACTCTTTGGATAACCTCATCTCTTTGAGGTTCCATTATGGCAGGCGCTTGAGTAACAATGTCCTCCTTTCTGACTTTAGGAGGTGATCTATTCTCATCCTTTTTATTCATTCGATCCGTTGATCGATTTACTAAATTGAGGAATGCTGGACTTACATTTTTGCATCCCGTATTTTGTCTGTTTTGAGGTATATATCTTATTTAGAGTATTCGATAGTCTTTTACGCTTCTCCATATACACAGGGTCTATTCAGGGTTAGCTCTGCATGTAATTTTAAAGAACTCTAAATCCCTAACTTACTATTTCTGGTATTTAATGAAGCAATCGAGTTCACATAAGCTTGCATAATGAAGATAAAAAATATTAATCAGCTTTCGTGCTTATTAAAGGGGTTTTGGGGTTTTGGGGTTTTGGGGTTTTGGGGTTTTGGGG